CAGAGGGAAGTCCACTAGGCCACTTGTTTATCGACTGACGTACCCGGGCCACAATAGCGGGGAACACAGCCACGCCTTGTCTACATAAAACAAGCATTGAGAATATGCAGGGAAGAGAAAATAGTGTCAAGACACATATACAATATATCTGGTAGCTTCAAATATTTCCGCACGAAGGAAGTTCAAAATCATAACTCCCAATAAAATCAATGCACAGCGCTAAGAGTAATAATACACTAAGTCGTGCCCTTCCACTAGGCACCGACCTGTACTTGTACAAGGAAATCTCCCAAAATCTGTTTAAGATCCCAAAAACAATGACTCCAAAGTAGTATCTTCAGCTTAGAAACCCCCAGGACCCTCCATACGTGCCCGCATCTCGGATGCGAGAATTTCGGGGTGCCGGTGAACACTAGGCATAAGACCCATGCCGATGGCTCTCCGGAGTGCTTTAGCAATTTTGCGCTGGTTGACAGGTCGAAGACCGGTGACGGATCGAGGTTTGATACGGCCCATGCTGGTCATATATTCGGACATGACGGAGAAGTTCTGTGACCACAAAGAGCAAACAGTTAGTGGCTGTTCATCATGGTGTATGCTCCATACAAACAATGGCTCCGTCAGCTCGAGGACTCCTTACCTTGTACAAATCCATAGGATTCAGGTTCAACGCATCGAAAGCATCTGTCTGAGGGTTCTGGCGCTTTCCCCATTTCTTCATCTCAGCCGGGCTAAGATCGTGAGGGGCGTAGACGTCTCCAGCCTTGAAGTCACGGGTTTGGTATCTCTCAAGGGCTCGGCTCTCGCCTTGTGCCTTCTGGTCCTCAAGGAACTTCAGGCGACTGGGTAAACGGCGTCGTTGGACCACTTGGGAGGCTATCGCAACAGGTTAGTCGCTAATCACACTCAAATAAACGTATCCACATATCACAGAATGGGACAACAAATAAATCATCTAGGTGTATCGGGTCCATCACATACTCTGTGAGCTTGTGCCGCGCTGGGAGGTGAAAGCGCTCATGGCAGCGGTCGAGCTCCAGCGACAGAGCGACAGGCCAACATTGGCTGTGGTCGCGGCATTGCGCAGCAATGGCGAGGAGGAAAGGAGGTTCAGAGACATCTTGACCTTTTAATCCCTGATTAGTTGTAGATGTTGAAGACGGTGATATGGAGACCGGGCAACGCGGAGGTGAGATCTTTTTTCGCCAAGACTTCTTCCGCCTCCAGATCTCTCCGCGTCGCGAACCCCCATTTTTCATGATTCCATACAGATGCGAGTTAACTTGGGACTACACGTTTTTATCTAATCCCTCTTTCCTCATCTGATCTTTTAAGCTCGACCCATATCATCCATAATGCAGTCCCATCTCACGAGACGGGTCTTCCGGGCAATCATCAACAATAAACCACTTCGGTTCTCCCAATGCCATCGGAATCGCCTATTGCACACAATCACACCTGCCCGAGTACGACCTGCTATGTCCAGGCTCCCTTATACATCGCGACGCAACATCTTTGTCTTCAGCTCAGACCCCGAGCGGTCACAATCTACTTTGCCCTCTGAAAAGGGCCTGAAACCAATGGCTGACTTGATGAGGGCACTCAAAGATCGAAGCAGAACTCCTCCGAGTGATATTCTGGCAAAGGCATTCCAAACTTTTTTCACAATGAGACTTGAAACACCAATGCTCATCAGTCATTTCCAAGCCCGCGCGCTGATCGTCACCTTCAAACATTTAAGGGCCCAGCAAAACGACATGGAAGAAGAGGACTGGCAGAATGTCTTCTCAACTGAGAATCTCGAAAAAGTGCTGGATGTCCTTTCTGAGTGTGAGTGTGCCCCACAGGCTCGCGAGGTTGTCATGAACCTTGCCCGATACGCATATCAAGAACTAAACCTGGATCACGGATTTGGCCCGGGGAAGATCAGCCGGCCGGCCCTTGCTCTCTATATCAATATCCTGTCTATGAATGGCAATCCAGAGGATGCTAGACATACCTTGTTGAAGTTTTGGGGTCAAATGAGCAAGGCTGTCCCTTCACCCTGGCTCACAATTATGAAAGGATTTGCCATGAAGGACGATCTGCGACAGGTGCGGAAGATTGTTGATGAGTGGGGACAACATGGCAACAAGTTTGACCAAGCCACCCATGGAGAGCTAGTTAGATTTCTCGTCGACCACGGTCAGTGGAAAGCGGCTCAAACTGTCTACGACTCTCCTATTGCCGGTGACTCAGAACCCTCCACGGCTGCGAGAGAGGCTCTGATCAAACACTATCTCTTGAATTCGCGTGTAGAGTCGGCGGAGGAGATCTTCAAGTCCCTCCCTAATGAGCCCAACGAAGACACCGCTGGCATCATTTTGCTCTGGGAAGCGGCACAGGGGAGCAATGCTTCTGCTATTGCGCAAAAGGTCCATGCATGGACTGCGAAGAATTCTCAGCTCAAGGGCTCCATCAAGATTGACATCGTTAATAACCTTATTCAGTATGCAAACGCGACGCAAAACCCGCAGTTGGCTTCTGATTTCATGGCGCTCGCCCGCCAGTGGGGTCTAATCCCAGATAGCCAAACTCATATCTTAGAATTGGAGTCCCGCATCCAGGCTGGCGATGTCGATGAGACTTTGAAGATTCTCGAAGAGAAGGTTGATCCGACTTCACTTACGAGTCACAACCTGCCAATTGCAAACAAGCTCATCGCGATGCTCTGTCGATCGGAGGAAAAGGAGGCCTTATTCGACCAAATCTCCTCCCTCCTAGACCCTCTTTTCCAAGAGAAAGTGCACCTAGAACCTGCGACCATCGCCGCATTGACACACATGCTCCTTTACCGCCACGACCTTGATGCTGTTTCAGAGTTGCTACGCCCACGAGTAGGTAGCTACAGCGACGAACAGAAGATGCCGATACGCGACGCGCTCGCAGAGTACGTTATGGACAAAAGCCAGTCCGATACAGACGTGTGGAATGCGTACGAGCTCCTGAAGATCGCATTCCCAGAAACGTGGGTCTCAGTCCGCACCAAAATCATGACCTCCTTCTTCAACCGGAAGCGCAGTGACCTTGCCGTCTTGGTATTTGGACATATGCGCCAAGCCGACGAACCCGGTCGACGCCCTAGGCCGGACACTTACGCCCGCTGTTTCCAGGGCCTGGCTCGCACACCAGATGCAACAAACCTGGAACTTGTGCACAACATGCTGAAGCTGGATCTTGAAGTGGACCTCAACACGAGAATCCTAAATGGTCTGATGATGGCGTATGCCGCGTGCGAGATGCCAGAAAAGAGCATGGAAATCTTCCGACAAATTCTGAAGTCGGAGGAGGGCCCTTGTCACAAGACTATCACGATTTTCTTCAAGGTCTGCCAGAAGCATCACAATGGTGTTCAGGAGGCTATAAAGATGATGAGTAAGGTGAAGAAGCTGGAGATCACTGCGAATCGCCCGCTCTATTCGGCGTATATGGAAGCCCTGGCAGCGCAATGCGAGTTCGATCTGGCCGTTGAGGCTATCGACAACATGGAAGCTGAGATTGGCATCCCTGCTACAAGCAATACGTGAGTAGATTCCTTCGCTGTCTGTGTTATAATCGCTAATATAGATCCTAGCATCGGGCTGTTCTACAATGCTATCCCGTACCAATACTGGAAAGATGAGGTGGAGAAATGGGCAAGCCAGAAGTATCCCGAGCATTGGGAACATTTGATGACGATAAAACGCACTGATCAAGAGGAAGGGCTGGAGTTTGACGGCATCTCAAATGAGGTGTCGGTGTAATAATTTTTGTATCCAAGTAGTAAGCCCATGTATCATAATTCCCGTAAAGGGGCCTTCGAGAAACCTCCTGAAAGTGCGCTTCCCCTATTGGTACATATATAGCGTCTGCAGGCAATGGGGGATGCTCGCCGCGAATATACGGGACCTTTTTGGATATCGCGGCAGGCTGGATAACGAAAGAAAAGTGAGCAAAAAAGGGAGCGACAAAAGGACAAGAGTAACAAAAAATAGGTTAATATATCTTTGAATATTCATCTCGCCTAAAATCCGCGTGAAGATATGACCTTGATTTGCTTCTATACAAATATGTAGCCTCTCACTCTCTCTTTGCGATATAGTTCCTCCCCGTTCACGCAGCAATGTGTTCCAGAATGCTCCTAGTCTTTGTTCCCTCAGCCCGAAAACAATTGTAACTGCCCTCACGAGTTACAACCTGCTTTTGAACCGGATAAAGTCAACCCCAAAAGGAGGCCAGACCAGGCGGGTGATTGCCCTCTTTCAGCCGCATGTTCCCTGTTTCTTGCGGAGATCGATCGGATCACTCGATGTTGCCCTCCAGCAATATTGAGAAATTCAGACAAGCCATTGGGCTTTGGACTGGCCAACAAACGGTAGTATTCATAGTCCATTCAACGCACTCGACACGAGTGTTGGCCTTTAATATCATGCGCCGCACCCTTCAATATCCGTTCCGGTTGCTGCTCAAATTTACTGGACGACAACACATTATCCGATGGCGTAGTAAGGCGCCAAATTCGAGAGACAATTTAATGGGGCTTGGGGCGCAGGCAATAGGGACGTGTTTGCTGCGCCACGATGCATCTTTGCGGGGACTCCAGGGCTGAGGCACTCGATGACCCTCTTACCGTCTGATTCTGCTCAAGTCCAGCTCGATCAGCTTGGTAGACCTTTTACCAAAGTGCGGCTGGAGTCCCAAGTTTTTGCGAGTTTCTTACGCCATAGAGTATTCGACCATCATGACAGGGTTTTCCACACGCACGCCTATTGACTTGCCTCGTTCGAACACAGATATCGACTTAGAAGACTTACCTACCCAAGCGAAAACTGTCCGTGATGGCAGAAGACGGCTTCATCAAAGGGACCAAGATCTGGCTAGACGAATAACCAGAGCTGTCGTGAGCTATTACCCTGAAGCCGCTGCTTCGTAATGATAATAACAAAGACGCGAAGTTCCGGCGCGAGTCGAATTTGGATAAGATGTTTGAGACGATCTCCGGCGTCGAGTCCCTAAAGAAGAACTACCGCAAAATCGCCCGAAGACCCAACCTAGGTCTAGTTGAACAAACTTTCGTGTACAAAGCGAACGATGCGGATGAGCTTATATTCAAGAGAGATGATACCTGGTCCGCGTGCTTCGAGCGGTTACGCTCTTCTACGGAGAGAAATGAGAATGGCTTGGAAATATGCCTTGTTACCTCCGACACCACCAATCTTGGTCGTGCGTTTTCCTTTATTCACAGAATCTTCCTTGTCGACCATGATAGTTTTCAACAAGCCTATTCCGTGCCGAGTCAAATGGTGATCAGGATTCTACAAAGCCAATGGAAGTTAAGTGATGAAACAATGGCTAAAATTACGGAAAGTGTATGTGCAAAGGAGTTTTTTCTCCCAGCATGGCAACCAAAGTTGCCATCTCATTGTACAGTACCTGGCCCATGTAAAATCTCATGTCTGTGCTAACTAGGCATGATAGGCAAAAATGCGCAGCCAGAAGACTACGTCCAGGTGCCATTGAAGTTTGTGTTCGAATGGATTAATGCTCCGTACTACGGGACCGACCTTTCAGTTTATGTGTTTCGACCATATGGAAAACATCCTCAAGTAAAGACTTTGGATGTTATTCTAACTTCGATGCAATACGAGCACATTCGGCGGGCGATTGTGGTTGTGAACTCCCACGACACCCTAACGGAGCTACGCGACTTGCTCCCCCAAGTCTTGCAGCATGATGTTTCCGGCCTTCCGTATATCATGCGGCTCTTCCGAGATGTATGCGCTAAGACCACCGATGAGCTCGTCACTTTTCTAACAAAGGCATGCGACGATATCAATTATATTGTGAGCACTACCACCCGCGATAGCAATCCCCGTGCTTGGACTAACTCGCTCAGGTTTACGAAGGACGGCTTCGGCCGTCTGGAAGCAAGATGCAATATCTTCGGCATCTAGACGACTGCCACCGCATCGCCAAGGACTGCTGTCGAAAAAACCGACGTACCCTTCAAGTGCTGCTCGACCAAGTTGACTTGATTGAAGGGCCACGCACTGATGACGAGACAAACCTGATCAACGAGCTTGAAATGGTGACGAATGATCTAAATTACCTGCATGATGAGATTGATTCCTCGTTGCAAAGACTACCAGTTGTATGCCGAGACGTTCGCGAGCAATTGGATTTTGTCCAAATACGTCGAACAAACATCTTGGGGATTCTCGCCGGACTATACTTGCCACTTTCGTTTGTTACCGTGTGTTTCTGGCGCAGACCCCTTGAATATATCCCTCTAATTTATTCAAATCCAGAGCTTTCTAGGTATGAATCTCAACCAATTCACGCGACCTCAACCATCTTGGCGCAATGCCACCCGGATTGATCCAACCAATCCGGAAAACATCACCATTTCCCATTCCAAGATTGTGAATTCCGGAGCTAATCAAGCATGGTCTTTGCAAACCTTCTTCGTGACTGCGGTGCCACTTATGTTTGGTACAATACTTGCACCCCTTGTCATTGGAAGAGTCATTCGAGTATTCCTGCGAGCGCTTGGACGCGGAAGAACTTGGTGGCGTCTTCTGTTGGCCTTTTTTGTTATCGTGTTAGTTACCATTACTTTGAAGAGCTTGAATTCCCAGATGCTAACGGATATTGCCGCAGTTATTGCACCGTTGCGGCCATATTATGTTCAGAATACCATTCGGCGGAAGCGTGGATGCTTCTGCCATTGTTTTTTTTCAATATCTTCCATTGGTCCTTTTTTGTCATGAGGGATAGAAAAGATCGACTTTGTCTGATCTACTGGCTCGTGACCATCGCCTGGGTGCTAATGATTGTATATTATGTGGTGAATGTTGTTGCTTTGGGGGTCATGGGGCCATTTTACAGCATTTCTCTTTTTGTTGTCTGGTGGTTGAGGCCAGATTTCTATTACATATGGGATCAAGGAAGAAGACCGAAAGGGAAGTGGGCTTGGTAAACCAGATCTATTTTTCCCAAGTCTATGAAGCCCGCGTCCATCGGTACTGGATAAAGGGGCCAAACCAGAAAATATGTTCCGAGATTGGGAGGCCGAGCTTTGGAGTGTAGAGGCAAGGGAGCCCTCGCAATTGCGGATTTAGTCCTAGATGGACGATAATAGGGGTTGAAATCCAAAATTTCTCTAAGATATCAAGGATAATCCACAGAACACTACGTTATTGATTCTGTGAAAGCACTACGTCCATGAGGCAGTATTAGCCATGTTGAGAGATGAAGCAAAACTCAGAATTGAGCCTTGAAAAGGTATAGTCCAGACTGAGTATAGAGAGCACCTGAAGACCAGGAAAAAAGAAAAAGAAAACCAGAAAAGAACGACCGATCATTCTCTTCCCTCACCACAGCTCCATCAATGATTTGAACCCGGCTGTCCTGCCTATCAGCTATCTCTCAGTAAACCGGGAAAACACATCCGTAGTCGCAGTGGCATATTCTCTCTCAATGGTAGCCCGAATGACCTCGTTGCGCACTGCAGGTCGACAAGGATAATCTTTGGCACAGTAAAGGAAGCCGTTATGGTACCCAGTCACGGGATCACTATCCATCGGGCCCTCTCCCGGTTCGAAGTCAAACGCCCACAGCAGCTTAGCAATGGCTAGGAACATATTGCGCTCGGCAAGGTGTATTCCTGGACAGATCCTGCGTGAAACCCCGTACCCGTAGTGGTCGCGACGCTCCCATGTCCCCGGGACATAGTCGGGAGCTAATTGAGGATGTTGGGCAAAGCGCTCGGGGATAAAAGCCGCTGGATCATCGGGTTGCGATGGATCCATGTGCATCCCCCACGTGTTGATCACGACTATTGTGCCTTTTGGGAGGAATTTGCCATCTACCCAGTCGTCTGTTACGGAGGTTAGAACATGACCATAATTTAAGGGGAAGGACGGAAAGGAAAAGGAGAAACAAATGCCCTTACCCTCTCCTAGTGCATGGGGAAAACAGAGTGGAAGTACAGGCCTCCACCGGTGACCTTCCTTGACGATCATGTTGATATAAGGAAGTCGCTCGAAGTCCTCCCAAACAGGCGACCGGTCGTGGCCGACCACGGCATCAATTTCAGCATGTGCCTTTCGCTGCACATCGGGGTTTTGGATCAACGCTTGCACGATAGACAGGGTGAGACTGGAGCTAGTGTCCGAGCCCCCTTCCATCAGAACACCGCCGATAAAGGCTAACTGGTGCCATGAGAGATTATGTTTCTCCTGGCTATCCAAGACCTTGTCCATGAAGGTGCCATTATTGTGGCCACCCTCCCGCCGCTTGATGACCTTTTTCAGGATGTCGACGTAGAGTGTCTCCATCTGTACACCGATGGCCTTCGCCCGGTTGACGTAGTTATTAAACAGCCACTGTGGTAGCAGTTTCAACCAGGGGAACATGTCTACCGGTGGTGTGGCGCCGGTTTCCATCACTTCCGACCATTCCTCCATGAGTTTGTAAAGCCGTAGCATGTTTGATCCCTCTCGATTGGTCGTGCGGATTCCAAACACTGTGATAGGGTCTTAGGGTATTTTTCAGCAGCAGATCCATTATGGAAGACTTACCGATCGAGTTCGTGATACTGTTACTGTACCGTTTGGGATGGGCCATATGGTGCTCCGGGTCGACCATATAGTCTCGCACCAGCTGTATGGCTTCGGCGTTGACGATCTGGGTGTGATGGTTTATCACCATGGTCTCCATCAGGTGTTGATGAACCAGTCGTCGAAAGGTGCGCCACTGGTCGCCATAATGCATCACCAGTAGGTGATTTCCCTTAGTGATAAGATCGTGCGAGACAAAGGAAGGGGGCCGATGGCTGTAGATGCCACTCTTCCGATCGAGGACTTCTTTTACCAGTCGGCGATCGGTGATGACGGCCATATTGCCATTTCCGATCTTGAGCATGTACAGCCCGCCATACTGGGCGGCCCATTCGGTGAACCTGAACTCCGCAAGAAATGCGCGGTGAGAATTTTCTGTGTGTCCCGAAGGAAAAAGGGAGGTTATGGGACATACTTGATATGGGTGTACTTCTTGGTGATCTGGTGGATGTTTCCAATGAGGGGTAGGGTGGGGGGACCTACACCAGATGAGAAAATCCACTCTCAGTCAGCTTTGAAGACGACACTTACCGATGGGCATGGTGCTAATCCGATGGCCATAGGTGAAGGCATATCGTACGAGCACGACAGCCGGCAACAAGACCATGAGTAGCAGTAATAATGGCTCCATAGTTAGATCTATCGCGGCTGAATCGACCTTGAAATCCTTCAGGGCTTGGATATCTTCAGCATCGAGATGACAGCGGGGTACGCTGACTTATAGATCGACAGGTGAAGGGTTGATGCTCAGGTGCATCATGCATGGGATTGGTTGCAACGGTGAAAACCCCAATTACCCAAAGGAGTGTGCCCCCGGCTAAGATCCCCTTTGGAGAAACACTTCGTATTTCCTGTGGAGTTGAGCGTCGGTTCTATAGTCAACTTGACTATGAAGGCGAAAAGATATGATATCCCAAATAGGGCTTCTAATCATCCCCAAAAAAACTGGATAGATAGCCACAGTCTCCTGAGTCCTTCTCTCTGGAAGGTGGATTGATTTCATGGTAATCTGATAGCGACCATTTTTGTCCGAGAAAGAAGCTAGGAAGAGGAGGGAAAACGACCATCTGGATGATCCGGGTGCTAGGTGAAGCCTTAGGCTTTTGGGAGAGAGAAGCTACGCTTGCCGTAAGTGAGGCTAACAAAGTCCCAGTTCTACATTCACAGTCCCTCCATAGGGTGATGCGTTGCAAGCCAATCCTTTACTAATATATCCATATTGTGCTATATAAATAATCATCAGTCCATTGACAATATTGTCTTATCAGGCTTGACTCCAATCCTCTTCCAGCAGCTTCCTATGTACGGCTAGCATCGATCTTAGTTTCAGATCCTCGCCTTATCCGGGGCCCCCTTCAGTCGCGGAAACAACTCCAATGCCGCTCCGCTATCTACCTGTCGCTTAGTCTGCGCTGGCAGTTCATACAACTCCAGAAAGTCTGTGAAGCGTTGGATCGCGCCCTGCGGGGCATTTGGGAAATCACTGCCAAAGAGCACATGCCCAGGCGCAGCGAACTCGAACAGCGCCTTCAACGTGATCGGGTTCGATGAGATGGCTGTGTCGAAGTAGAAAGTCCGGGCAGCCTCCACCAGCTCTTCAGTTGACAGACCGAGCGGATTTGGCATACAGGGCAGCATGGTAGCCGCCCGATGGATGAGATACGGCAAGGTGCCGCCCGCGTGAGAGAGGATGATCTTGCATCCCGGATAGTCTTGCAAAATTCCACTTGTCAATATATCCATGGCGGCTCGGCCAGTCTCATGCGGATAGTCAAACATGGGCTGCGGTAGCCATTGGTTGACGAGTTGCGTATCGACCGGATGGGTCGGGTGGGTGAAGACCACAGCACCGCGGCGGCTGAGATCGGCCCAGATGGGTCGAAAGGCTGCATGTCCTAGGTAATTAGGACCATCGCCGTAGCGGGTGAAGAGCGTGACTCCGTCTGCACGGAGAGTGGTGCAGGCGTAGTCGATTTCCTCCAAGACGGCCTCTGTATCGAACAGGGAGGGCACCGATGCGAAGAAGCCATACTGGTGCGGTTGAGCGTCCCGAATGGCGGCGGCAGATTCGTTGCAGCTGCGCGCCAGCGCAGCGGCTTTAGTAGCATCACGCTCAATGCCTGGCCCCGGTGCAGTGACCGAGAGAATGCTAGTGGCCACCTTCAGATGTCGTCCCATGTCCTGGTCCAACTCCAGCGTCCAGGGGGGAGTGTACCAGCCCGAGGGGTCGCCTCCTGCGCGATCCAGGGCTATCTGAGGTTAGCCAACGGGGTTCCCACTCCAACACGGGTGGTACTGACCTTCACGCATGGCCGCGGGGTAGAAATGATGGTGTACATCAATTTTCGCCATGATGGTCATTTGGGAGCACTTGCAGTACTGATCTTTTGGTAAACCAGAACTTAGTTATGGGCTTTCCCTGCTCAAATACAGATCTCTAGGAACCATGCCATCTCGGACTGACTGACATAACTGTGCAGGACCTCCGAGCGTGAATTGACGGTGTTGATGAGGTTGCAGGGATTCCGGAGCACTCCGAAGAGAGAGCGAGTGAGAGAGGGAGGGGTTCTACGGTGTACAGGATGTCTGCAGGGTTACGTATGCTTACAGAATCTGGACTCATCCCCGGGCCCATGGTTATGCCCGCAGGTGTGCGCTTGCCAAATGGTGGGATTTATTTATGGGCGCTTATTATTCTTATCACACCAGACCCTGTCCTCGTGCTTCCGAAAGAGGAGATATCTTTCCGAAACTCCTTAGGGGTGCCGTTTTCCCTACAGCAATACTGTGTCCGCTCATACCAAATGCTTCATTGCACTGTTCCCAGGGGAACTCACTTCTCAGCTGTTATATTCCAGTCTATCTCCTGGAGCTATTTTGATTCAACCGGCTACGTACATTATGATCTTTATAAACAAAAAGAGCGAAGGACAAGAAGGAAAGAACTCCGGATTGTAAGTGTACCCAAGGCAGAGATTAAATGCCAGTATCCTGTCTGCCATTACTCCTGGCCCTTCCCGCGGAATAATTTTAGAACCGACGGCGAGACAGCAGGCAGGATGCAACCACGTAGAGAGCCCCCGCCGATATCGCCGTGACGTAGACATCACCAATCGAACTCATAATTACCTTCAGGGCTTCCGTCTTCAAGGCCGGGTCCCGCAAGAATTCGACGGGGAAAAATCGGTTCTGTTTGTTGGTCCCGACACAATAGTACTTACTGAGCAAGAAGGTGACGGTGTAGAAGGCAGTGACTACGTACAGCGCGACATTCCGGCGATCAGTCCAGAGCCATTCGACACCGCCAATACGATGGACAAGAGAATGGAGATATGCATGCCCGCAGAAAGGGCCGTGCCCACCCAGCCCAGCTTCACAAGCTTCTTGACGAAGCTGCGGTCTTGGCCCGCTAGGCGTAGCAGGGAGGGCGGAAGAAATACGTAGATGGGTGACATGACTCCAAAAATGACCAGATTGAGATAAAATGAGAGTCCATTGAGGTTAGCATATTCATTGAGGTTAGCATACTCGGCGGAGGAAATAAGAAAGGGATCCACGTACCCATCGCCATGTGGCTGAACCTATCGGAAAAAGCGCCACCAATGATAGGAACCAGAATACCGCCGGTGCGTAGATCAATCCAAGCAGGCCCACATATATGGGTTGTTCCGCTGGGGTAGTCAGGATAGTGATCAGGTTCAGATTTCTAGGTCATCCTGGTTAGTCCGATCTCTTTCTAACCTTTGCCTATCGCGATACAACTTACCCCAAATACATGCCCGCTCCTCCCGCTCCCGCCCACACGCGCCGCCAGCGCCGCAGAATGCACTCCCGGCCGCAACCATGGTCAAACAGCCGAGGAAAAGCCATTTTGTATTGAAGATGGCGTAAGCTTTGCCCAGCAGGAGAATAAAAGCTACCGATCCCAAGGTGAAGCCCACCGCGAGTCAACCCAGCCGAGTGTACTCGTCAAAGTCGCCCGCAATGGGACCCTGAATGTCTGCCACAATGGTATTGTCCGAGCCATAGAGCAGGTTGGCAGAGAAAACGGCAATGCAGACAAGCGGTCAAGCGGAGACCTACGATTTCTCGGCGCGGGGCTGCATCCTTATCGGCATCCTCGCCTTTGATGATCGGTTCATGCACACGATCTAGGATTTGACTTTCGAGCATAGTCTCACTTGGCGTGCAATGGTCTATACCCACTTGATGGTGGGAGCGAACCGAGTGGCACTTAGTCAGCGGGTTGAAGAACCTTGCAATCAGCTATTCAATGGAGTCGTAATGAACCGAAAATGGAAGGGCAAAATGCATGTATCCACTGGAGGTTGCCGAAAGTATTGATGACAAGGTATTATTACATTTTTTGGGACATTCATCTTCATCAGTTTGATATCTGATCAATCACAGTTCATTATTTGTCTGATAAACTCCGAAGCTCCTTTCGGACTCGGGGCGGGAGTTCCCGAGCTAACCTAATCGTCATCACTAAGTGGATCCATCTGGACCTGCATCCATGGATCTGCTCTGGGATTTCTAATCTTTTCCAAGATTTCCAACCTTCGATGCGTGAACATTACATATGGATGTCCCTGTACACCCCCAGGACTAGAAATATAGGATAGCCTGGAGACTAGTTCGTAAACGGAGTGATATGGAAAGCCCACCATCCCACCCCCTCGCCAAATGCCCACCAACGCCTAGAACACCTTGAGTCATGTCTCATGGGTGCCATTTCTTTCAATTTAGAGGTTTTCCGATGGGACATTAACATCGACACATGCTACGTATTTATTTATACCAGACTAAAAGAAGTATTAAATAGTGCGATATATGAAGGGGATTGATATAGCCACACCCCCCGTGGATACAAAAGAATTAATTGTCCATAATTCATCTCCATTGCAAGTTATCGACTGGGCCTATCTGCTACTTGTCGCATCAGGGACAGCTGTGACAGCCGAATCGCTGATTGTGAATCTAGGCTATCAGCGGCACCAAGCCATTGGGTTCAACGTGAATGTGGTACTCGTGAGAAAAATGAGAGGCTTAGAAATCCCTCTGATTGTGAGGTGAACATACTTAGTCAACCGGTCGGTATTACCAATTCTCCAATATCCGTTATGCCGAACCCCTCTGGGTCCCTTGTGGTTTGTGTTTCGCGCTATCCGTCTCCTCAAGGAATCACAGTCACGAGGTTATCGTTGCAAGGGACTGAGAAATATCTGGCCTCAGTCTCATACCTGTTGGTTCAATTGCAGGGCAAATTTGTCAGAGCCGTGAGCGCGAGCTCTACTTCTAATTTCACCGCCTCGTATCATAGACCAAGTTTCCTCCGCGGTTCAGCAGGTACAGCTTGTCAAAGCGGTCGATGAGTTCGGCTGCCGACTGATTGATCGTGCATAGGATGGCTTGACCCGAGTCTACCTGACGACGAAGCAAGCGAGCGATCGACATGGCCGATTGGCCGTCGAGACCTGAGGCCGGTTTATCCAGGAAGAGTATCTCTCGTTTGGATGCCATCGCCACGCCAATACTGATTTTCTTCCGCTATTCGAGATTGAGCCCGGCCCCACGGACCAATCAGCCAGGACATCCACAATCATTCTCTCAACGTAGTATTTTACGCCAGAGGGATGGGCTCTGGGCGTCGAAGTTGGCCGTCATTTGCAATACCTCGAGCAGGGTCTGAGAGCGAAGATGAATGTCCTGCTGTTGCACATAGCGCACTCGCCTTCGAGAGGATGTGGGAAGCACTTCACCGTTGAGCGTTAGCGTCTTCAGGAGAATCCCGATAGAACGACGGGGGTGCTGATGCTCTCGTAACCGATGTTCGTTGCTTTAGCTAGCCGGTATCTCAAAACTATCATTCCCATGGACTGGTCTTGTTTCACTATCGACTTTATCACGGCGGTGTATTCCTCTTGGGCTGCTCTTGTAGAAAATGGTCTCTGTTCCGATCCTGGTGAAATTGCAGCGTCAGTCGTAAAATTTCTCCATGACCTGGGCTGCTAACCTGGGCTGCTAGCGTCTGGTGGCTTACCCAGAGCAAAGGGCAAAGGAGACGAATGGGGCCGCGTTAATCCCTACATTTCGCCAGAGGTGGGAGTTTCGAATCCTTACTGGGCGTGGATTTGAAACTCCCCTTGTGGTGCGGGCACGTAAATCCCCTCGCAGAGGGCGCACATATTACATAAAATCACTGGACCCTCAGCTTGGGAGACCTTATTATGTCAAAAGAAGATCATCACTCTGCTGAGAAACGATACCCTGCCAGTCAAGTTGATGTTTCCCGTTCCCCCCCTGTGCTCGATGCTCCCATATCTCCTGCGGAACCCTCAACGGTCGTTGGATATTCCTGAAATTTCGTTTCTCCGCCTTGAGCCTTAGTCGAATACGAATCATCTCCATATGGGATCTATTCGTTGCCTCGGCCCCACCAAGAAGAGAGGGAAAAGAAGGGCAGATTCGGAAACATCATTCAGAGGGATATTGGTCACGTACTGGAGAGTTGTAGGTACCTCAGCTTCGAGTCTTGAGTACAGGGAACATCGTGCGAGAGCTTCAAACCGCGCAAAGTTTGGCGATAGAGGTGAGTCAAGGCAGCACAGCAATATGGTTAGGGCAGCGACGCTAAGGTTTGCGTTGTGCCTGGTGGGCACCGCCATGTCTTTATCTTCTGTTCGATGGCAGACCAAGGATTTGCCGTATCGGGAATAGCTTCATCTGACGAGAGGTAACTGTGTGCCAGGATGGTGGTGTAGTGGCAGCTGACCTCAAGAGATAAAGATGAATATCTCAGAACCAACCTCCATATATACGAATACAGCCGCGCAAGGACTGGCTTGAAAACGCATGCTTTTTTTCCGTATTATCAAGTATCTGAAGTGATTCAATTTTAGTTCTCTAAGGCCAGATGTCCTCTGTAGAGCGCCATGTCTCCCAATTTAGTTATCTTCCGGGTGTTAGGGTTGAATCCGAGAAACAGTCGCTATATATCGCCAAATTGTTATAAGCGGAGGTAAAAAGTCGCACATAAGGAACTGAAATAGATACATACACCTGTGGAAGTCCTACATATGTATTATAACAGTTATCAATCCAGTTCGTATCTTTTGTACTTCTCTCCACCCAGCAGAGCCTGCTGCCTAGTTAGTCACTATGGATTATGGTATTCTAAGTCGGGCGAAATGTAAAAGCAGCAAGGCCAAAAAATAAAAACAGTGAAAGAAAAGCGCACCTAATCACGGGTTGGTGGTCCACGAATCCATGATCATCGTACTCGCATGCAGCCACTGGGCTTCAGTGCCTATGACCATATCCGCAGACGTGGCCGAGGGCATCGACAGAGAATCCGTCGTCCCCAAAGTAGGGGATAGTTCGGGTAATGACCCAATTGGCATCATGTCCATTAATTGCATACGCGCCTCAAAGTTAGGCATTAGCTGATGGGACTCCTCCAGGGTAGTCGGTGGCAGCGCTCGCTTGAGGGAGTTGGACGGGACCCCCGGTTGTCCGGGCGCGACGAACGAGTTCTTGTTCGACAGCCTAGGATTCTGGACCTTGCTGGACAGGGACTGGCTGGCACGCGGCGCTGGTCGCCCTGTCAGAGCTTGTTGGACGTTGTTGATGAGTATATCGGCCTGGCAACTGACTTCACGGACGACCCGCGCCGCATTTTTGGCTGCCAAAATGTGATCACTCACAAGCTCTAGCGTGCTGATCGCCGTCTGCAACGACTTGCGGGCAGAAGGGGTCGGGGGACAAACCGAATTCGACAGCACAAAACCTAGGGTACACAGGATGGCATCCCACTGGTATTGGAAGATGGATGACCAGCCGCGCAGGAGATCCGTCTCGGAGAGTACTTGGTTTAGGATACTGGTGATCGTCATGGCGTGGTTCAAACAGGAGATATTGTAACCGTCGGTCCGTGGGGTCACAGAGGACCTCACGGGAGGGAATCGGATAAAGGGACGGAGTGTCGAGATCACAAGATGGTGATAGTGAAGCTCCAGCAGGACGCGTTGGCGCTGCAGCCAGAGCGGACTATACGGACACAGATTCAGCGCGTCCCGATTGCTGGAGAAGGGGGCCCCCGTCCCCTTACGAGCATTACATAGGGACTGCGGCACATTTTGAACCCAGTTGTGGATGGCTGTCATCTCCTGTCCGAGAAACTCGGCCAAGGTCTCGAGGAGGCGCGGGTCCTCATATAGATCCTTTGCCTTATCCCCATTCAGCAACTGGGAACATTTCCGGTGTAACGCTGTCTGCACGCCCTGGACAAGAAATACGAGCTTCGTGCACTGCACATGAAAGCTGAGCCAGCTGATATCGTCATGATTGGAGAGGAGGACTGTGCCAGATAGCTGGGCGTGCTCACTACCATCTCCGGGCAGCCCGCAGCTGACATGGGACAGCTGAATGAGTGGCGGCCGACCCAGTGTCATCGAGAGCTGGTTGTCGAGCCGATAGAGCGTCCACCAAATCCGACGCTGTAGCTCCTGCTGCTCGGGGGAGGTCCCGTCCAGCGGGCGCATATGCAGCCGCAGCGCGTGGGCGATTCGCAGCGTGGCACCCAAATTAATATGGGCGGTATTCAGCAGGGAAGTGTTGTACAGGTAGACAATCGAATAGATGTGACTCTGCACTACCATGATGGTTGGACTTTCGAGCTCACTCTGCAGAAGTCTCTGGGCCCTCTGGTAGTAGATTCGACTGGCTAGATTTGCGTTTTTGGCCTGCCACCCAGACTCTGAATCTTCCTGCTGATTGTCCGCACTGACGAAGAACGTACTGCCGTACTGCATACAGACCGCCACTAGCACATCGACCAAGGCGGATGGCTTTCGGGTTGACATACCATCGGTGGAGCTGGACCATAATGAATCATAATATTGCTGAAACTCGCGTTCGTCAATAATAGGATAGACACAATGAAAGGACTGCCAGAACAGAGCGAGAAAGTGTTCCTCTTGCGACCGGGTCAGATCCTCTGCCTCCTCGTTTCCGTCCACAGGTTGATCCGTCTGGCTAGCTGGGCTTGCATCCCATCGAGACGGTTCATGAGCCGGCGCAATATAATGAAAGCGTGTCATGCATGCCTCCAACTTCGCGTCGTCTAACGGCTGGTCGAGTGCTTGGGAGAGATGGCGACTAATTCGGGATACAAAATATGAGGACGACAAGGGCCCGTAGTGAATCTGCCCCGTCTGCTGGAGTCCTTGCCATCCTTCCGTAGTATTGGTGAGCTCCGCGAAGTCGAACGAGGTGTGCGTAGCATCGGATAGTGGGGGAGTCGCAAAACCCGTGTGTGTTTGGATTTCCGGTCCTTCTTTGAGTTTCGCGATTTGATCCTGAAGGTCCTTGATCTTATTTCGTAACCGTTGTATCTCTCTGTCCATATGGATCAGTAGGCCATCTACACCCATCACTGATCCTGAGGGAGGTGGATATTGGTTTCCTACCGGTTTGCAGCTGGGAGTGAGGTGGCCTCCTGTGGCTTTGTGTTGCTGCAAGTACCTCCTCGGTTCCGGCAGTTCTGACATGGCTGCTTGTCATCGCATCTAACGCGATTGAGCCGACACCAGTCACACGCCCGAGCGACCTGATTTCGCTTAGGTCGTGGAGCTGTGATAGGCGTGGCCGATCTGTCACGGGAGGCGTCGATCGTGGTATCGAAGTTGGCGGAGAAAGTGGAGTACATGGCGGAGCGGTGGAGTGAAGGGGAAAACAATCCAGGTATTCATCAGACCAGGTTCATGCTACTCCAAATGGGGGTCGGAGCCTTAAAAGGAATTTCCCTCTAGACTATCAAGACTAGACGGGAGGGGTTGGAGGGGGGTGGTAGGGTAGTTCGATCGCGCAAAGGAAAATCAGTTGGAGAGGTGTTGGCGTTGGCTGCCTGAGGTTTCATATCTTGGCCTGACAAGGACAAAAGTACATGCAAACGCAGGGGTCTTGGATGATCGGCTTCCCTGCAGAGCATGAAACTCGCATGAGAACCAAGAGAGGAATAAGAAATGAGAAAATAGCTGGATGCTACCTAGGCACACGCAATCCCACTAGTGTGTCTCATCTATTGTGCTCTCGTGGACAACCTCGTCACCTCGGCATTGCCAAGGACGCATTCGCCACTTGCCGAGGTCCTCGTTGTTGGAGTAATAAGTGAGTGAGATTGTACTATTGGTCCAAGTCAGGCAGATAAGGTCATAGACCTTTAGACCGTCATATTTCTCCAGATCGGAACAGGAAATTCCATTCTGCCATAGATAGTCTTACATATGTAGATTGCCCAAAGTATTACTGAAACACTTGGAAAGCTTAGCCCTATATTGGTAAGATATATATGTAGGATAGACATCTATACGTTAGAGAATACACTAGTACTATACACGAGATATGAACTCAGATTGCAGATCGAAGCAGGCAAAATCGAAATTGTTTGTCCATAGGCGATTGTGAAGAAACTATAGTCAGTGGAAGAGTGCATCCAGATGCGTGGCTGCCAAAGAAAAAGAAGAAGAATATAAAATGAAACTAAATTAAATCCTACGTCAGTCCTAGAATGCTACCATCTGACGCTGGAAGGATTCTTCACAATGATTCACCCCCACCCACGTATCCAAAGACCACATGGACTTCAACAAAAGCCCGAAGGCGTGCTAGGGCGATCACCTTATCTCAATATCAGTTCCAATCTGTGAAGGAATCGGAGTGAGTCCGCTGTTCCGCTGCTCCTCCGGGCGACATGCGTCATCTGCAGAAACGGAGTTGTAGTACTCCGTTATGTCATGCTATAATACGATGTGCATCATGCATGTACAAGGATCAGAATCCTATTTTTGGGCAAGGGTCCCAATTGCCTATTGCGGGTGTGACATCGTAGCCATACGGTAATGCTGATATGCACGATCCTTTGCGGCTTACTCGGTCCTTTAACTAACATCCGGTGCAATTAGAAGCAAAGTAGCCAATTGATTGAAGCACGGGAAGTAAGACAGATGTCAAGCCAATGCATGCCACACCAATCGGGGGCTTCAATTAAATTGAATGTATCCACACGGAAACATTGTACGTTGCTAACACCGATGATCTGCACAAAATTTGGCTTGATGCCGAGCTGAGATACATACGAGCGTGGATGCCTTTGCCGGAACGGTCGCAAACAAACATGCAATCGAGAGGGGCAGGGGGTAATAATCACAATCTTGTGCTTGTCCTTTAATCTAGCTAATCAAATTGAGCGAATACCTCTTGTGCCTCGGCAAATTCCCGCATAATGGTCTCCCGCTTTTCCGGAGAACGGAGACGAATGGCGCAGCCATAGTCCTTGGGACAATGAAGAAACCCTTTGCTAGCGCCAGATTGAGCTGAAATGTCATTGTCGCTGCCAGGTGGCTCAACGAACTCAAAGGCCCAGAGCAGCTTGGCGACGCCGATAATCAGATTGCGTTCAGCCAAGTGAATTCCTGGGCACACACGCCGGCCCGCTCCGTACCCAAGGTGGTCTCGGCGTTCGGAGGCGGCATAGGCCGAAGCTAAGGCTGGGAAATCGGCGAAACGTTCGGGCTGGCAATGTTCGGGTTCTTGCCATCGCTCACTGTCGTGATGCATCCCCCAGACATTGAGAACGATGCTTGATCCTTGCGGAATAAGTTTTCCATCGATGTGGTCATCTTGGGGATCGTTAGCCATTTTCCTCTCGTTTTGGTTTTCTTTTTTTCGCTGGAGGAGGGAAAGATCGGATGTAGTAGACAGACCTTCTGCGACGGCATGGGGAACACCCAAGGGACTGACAGGACGCCACCGGTGGGACTCTTTAATAATCATGTTGATATAGGGCAGTTTGGATCAGTCAGACCAAGCCGGGGATCGGTCATGGCCGATAATGCAGTCGATTTCTGCATGGGCCCTGCAATAACACTGCATTAGCTTTCTCGCTTGAGCACACGAGGACGAAAGATCTGATTGGCCTACTTTGCCTGCACTTTTGGATACTTAGTCATGGCCTGAATGATGGCCAATATAAGTGAGGACGAAGTATCGGAGCCTCCTTCCATCAAAACTCCTCCTAGGAATCGTAGCTCATTCTCGGAAAGCTGAGTCTGTTTCAGTGTCTCTAGAACCCGGTCCATAAAGGAGTCTCGATGGACACCCCGTTGACGGCGCTCCTTCACCTGATCTAGAACGGTCTTGTAAAGGGACTGCATTAGATCACCCACTTCGACTGCCCGATTCCGCCAGTTCCCCAGAAGCCACTGTGGGACATAGTGCAGTAGAGCAAACGAGTCGACAGGCGGGGTGGCGCCGAGCTCCTGCACCAAGGACCATTTGTCCATTAGATAGAAAAGCTTATTCATGTACTCATCGTGGACGGTTTTGGTGCGAATACCGAAGACAAGTGAGTTGGTGATACTGTTACTGTAGCGCTTAGGGTGCAGCATGTGATCTTCTGACATGGTCAAATAATCATGCAGCATCTGTTTGGCCTCGGCCTCTTGGACTTTCCAGTGGTCGCGCTCGCAGCGGGGCTCCATGAAGTATTGATGGATAGTTTTACGCAACATGCGCCACCGGTCCCCGTACTGCATAACAAGGAGATGGTCACTCTGAGTGATCAAGTGGGATACCAGTGATGCCGGTCGGTGGGAATATATGTTGCTCTTTTTGTCCAGTAGTGTCTTGATCAGTTTATGATCGTTGATGACGATAGTGGTGTTGTTATATCGTTTCAGCGTGAAAAGACCGCCATATTCCTTAGCCCACCGGGAGAATCTATGCGAATCGCTTAGCATATTACCTGGGTAAATCACAGTGGAGCTGAGTCTCTACTGAAAATGCGCATCAGACTTTGGCACCTGAAGTTCATTTCCAAATAGTGGAACGGTTGGAGGACCTGTGTGCCTGTTAAATACAAAGTCACGTCTCGTAATTGCCACCACATACCGTCTGGGAGCTCTGGGGGTCGATGGTCTGCACGGAGGAGATATGTGACGAGGAACAACGTGCTGGCACTGCTAAGCAGTATCGCCAGAAGTTGAGTCGTTTCGAGGTGTAGGATATCCATAGTGTTCACAGATGTTTGGAAAGTGCCCCTCGGGACAGACCTATTGTCTATACTTAAAGTTTTCATCAACGCGGGGAACAAGATCATACCTATTTTGAGATTGCGACTCAGCTGTGTGATGGTTCAGGATTCCTAAAGGAGAATCGGAGTCTGCTCGTATAGAACTCTCACGGCTGCATATGTTGTCTATGGGTCCAACGCACCTTTTCTACATAGGTACTATCGATGAGGTTTTCGTAATGCTCTCCGAAATACGATTGGAACTTGCCTGAATGGACAGTTCAGAGTCAAGTATATGCTTCAGCGTTGGAGGATACTAAGATGACGGCTTTGATGCCATATCAGCCCCTGGTATACTAGGATCGGTCCCCTATGCTTTCTACGTTGGGGGAGAAATTAAAGAGAAGCAGGGCGTAAGAATATTTTTCTATGACAGACGACACACCAGGTGAGGTCATAGGTGTTCCATGCTGTCCACGGTTTCCTTTTGAACCGACCTTAGACTGGATAATTAGAGAAAAAGCTCCTCTCCTACTCGCCCTACACAAGAAGCAAGAAGTGGAAATACAGTTTGAATTCAAATGAACTGTGGTACGTGGACTAACATGTGCTGCGTAGGATATACCTCTACTCGCCCGCATCGCCAACAACTGCCCGTCGCTGCTTCCAAGAACCCGACTGCTCCAATTTGCTTTCGACGCCTGTGGAGTGACCGTTGGATGCGTCCACCGGCGCAGGCTGTAAGCCGTTGAACAGCCCCTGGTCATACGCAACTGCGCCCAGGCCCAATGGCGTTGGGGACATATCCTGCGTCCACGGCTCAAACTCGGCATTTTCGGGTTTAGCCTTTGGTTCCAACTCTGCCTGCTTTGCCCAGGGTCTCTCCTCCTCAAATGCGGAATGTACCAGATGCTGCTGGAAGAAAGAACCCTTCATCTTGGCGACGGCGAAATCCCAATCGGTAGTATATTCCCGGAAGAAGGGCTTATACCCGAGGAGTCCACCAATCCACCGGCCGACAATCACACAGGTCCAGTATCCGACCTGCCGGCGGAAGGGCACCCACGCGGGAGCAGGTGTATAGACATCCCCGCCGTCTTGAATCTATAACCATGTCAGCCGATGACAAAGGGAATTGTGCACGAGAATAGACCATTACCGCGAGGAACTGGATCCAATCGATCCCTCCATCGTGCAACAACGCATCGTGCCAATAGCCGTACCAGTTTTCAAAGAAGACCCGATCGAGCTGGTAGTCGTTCCCCGAGTCTGACGCACTCAGGTAGATCGTCATGCTCTCGGGAGAATCTGGATGAATGAAGAAATTATGCACACTTCCCGCCTTGACCGAGATCTCGCCATCTTCTGGGGTGATACGGCGAACGACCCCGTCCACTGAAATGCCGAGCACTCCATCCTCGACGCGGAAGTACTCAGTTTGAAATTGGTGAAAATGCGGGGGTGGACCCTTTGGTCGATCCGGGCTGTTGATGAGCTTCCGCAGGTTTTCTGGGATCGAGCCTTCAATTGTGTGACGGTATGTCTGACGGAAGAGAAAACAACGGCCTGGTGGAGGTCCGAGGAATTCGGTCGTGAGAAGACCGCCAAATCTGGATGATAGGTCTATGTTAGCAACCGAAGGACATTTTGTTCCATCAGGAAGCCAAAGGGAGCCAATTACATACTTAACAATAGTAGATTGGCCGGCCGAATAGTGGTAGGGCACAAATGGGGCCATTGTGGTTGCTTGCAGAGGTTGGCCAACTGGTAGAAGTCGGATTTTACAGTAGAATCATGAATATCTCCTAAAAATGCCTAGAAACACTCGTATACGTCTGTCGGCACCTAAATTCAATCATCCCTCTTGCACGCACAATTCCTCATGGCCTACCTGTTGAAGCATGTTGAAATGACCTAATCAAAACCTCACCGGGCGCGCCTGGGCGACTCGGCCGTGTCCTTCCAATGGACGTCGCGGCGGGGCCTGGGTATGGGCGCCAGCATGGACTTCATCAACGCTGAATTGGAATCCAAAGGAATCACAGACGTAACGCGTGATGAGGCCTTCGCTGCCTGGCAGCATCTCGCCAAGTATGATATGGACCACGGAGTTGTCTTGCGGAGTCGCGCTTTCGAGGACGGGGAGCCAGTGCCGGTCCCCATCCTCAATGATATTGCTGTGCGGCGGGTGGGCACGCTACTCGCCAACACGCAGTTGGCGGCAGGTTCTAATGGTAGTGATGCGGTGCCTGAGTCGGGGCCGGAGCTCAAGGCGTATCTGGATGAGAAGATCTGCGGCTGTGTGGCCAAGGTGTTGCAGATGACAGCTGACGACGTGGATTCGAAGGCTGCCCTGGCTGACCTGGGTGTGGACTCGGTCATGACAGTCACTTTGCGTCGCCAGCTGCAGCAGGCGCTGAAGGTCGCGGTACCCCCGACGTTGACGTGGAGTCATCCGACTGTCAGTCATCTGGTGGTGTGGTTTGCTGAGAAGATCGGCAAATGATCGAGCTCAGATTGAATGGGACCGGCTGCTTAAAGTGAGTGATATTGGTCGATTGTTGTTTCTGGTCTCATATTAGAATGCTTGATGTTGTTTCTGGGTTTCTGGTAGTTTGTAGTGTCTTCTCGTTCTCCTTGTCTTTTGATTTACGTTTGATGATTTCATATTTCCTTTTTCATTATGAGATTAGGTATTAGAGCACGTGAAATACATGTTTATATTCTCCTTTACCTGCAATCTAGTAAGCAAAACATACACGTGACTGTGTATTGATCACGTGCCACCGGGTAAATGTGGAGATCATCTTTTGGGGCGACGCCTCTAAACACCTCCAGGTACAGTGGCATTTCATGAGTATTGCACCCTGGTACCTCCATTATTGACCGCTTTTTTACACCGCCTGCCTATTCCTACTAGTATAAACCCGGCGCCGCGCGCGGCGCGCGCAGCAGCGCGTAGTATACTAGTATTGTAAAGGCTACTACCCCCCTTTTATTTTCTAATCTTTTCTCTATACTCTCCACCACTATGGCCCGCGGCAAGGAGCTTCCACCGTACGTTCGTGAGCGTATATGTGAGCTAAAACGCTCAGCAAAATGGGGTGCTAAACGTATTCAAAAGCATGCTTACCCACACATTCCTCTCTCAACCATTCATTATACCTTGCGCCAGGAATCAAAACGCGCTCATGGTGTCTCAATATCTCGCCCTGGGGGCCCACGGAAGCTTACCGAAGAGGACCGAGATCGTGTGTATGATACTATCCAGTCCCGGCCTGATATCAAATATGAAGACCTACTTGCTGAGGTTGATTATAAGGTTAAAGCAATCTCAATCTGGCGTTTAACGCATGAGATGGGCCTTCGAAAATGGCGGAAGATGGACCGACCATATCTTACGCCTATCCACGCCGCAAAACGTCTTAACTAGGCTCTTGCCTATCGTCACTTCACACCAGAGGATTAGAGAAGAGCTTTTTAGTCAGATAAGACTATAGTTGAGCGTGGACAAGGTGCTCAGAAGGAGTGGACTTTTATTCCTCCTAAGGATCAGCTTCGGAATCGGAATTCAGGTGTTCAAATGACACTCTCGAAGGGAAAGCAGTCAAAACAGATATTTTGGACCTGCTTTTCAGGTGCTCCACGGAAGACTGGCCTTATTCCTCTATACGGAGACCCAAATGCAATAAGGAAGGGTATCACAAAAGAGGTTATTTATGATCTCTACCGTGGTATCCTTCCTACATTACTTGCAAATGAAGATGCTATCTTCTAGCATAATAATGCGCCTACTCATACCGCGTATGTTGTTCAAGAACTATTACGCGAGATGAATATTAATATTATAGACTGGCCTCCGTATTCGCCTGATCTTAACCCAATTGAGAACCTCTAGGCGTTATTAAAGGCTGATATCTTAAAGCTAAGACCTTGGTTACGCGAGATGCCGAACAATAATGAGACCTGGGCTGAGCTAGTAGATGCAGCGCAGTATGCATGGGAAAATCTCACAGTGCACCACTTTGTAAATTTAGCAGAGACTATGCCGCACCGAGTGGAAGAGGTTATCAAGTATAAAGGATGGCATACTAGTTATTAGGGAGTTTTGAATACGAAGTTTTGTATCGGCAGAAAATAAGTGGGTCCCGGGCCTTCCGATGTACTGGCATGCAAATACTCATGAAATATGACTGTAGCCAGTTATACGACTCGCAATTAATTAGCATTCAAGTAGCCCATCATCACGGAAAGAAATCATTGTTTAAAGGAACTTGCTTTCTCAATATTTTTGTCACCATGTCTCACCATCAATACTACGCCTACCCTAGGTATGGAGTCAAAGCTCAGAAGGATGGATCTCCGCTACAGCCAGGCCGTTCGAATTGGCGAACCACTCTTGACCTTGCTCACTTTTGACATTGCATACTATGTTTCAAACCGAACACGGTGAGTCCGGTTGGCAATGAGAATAAGTTAGTGGTGACGAGGTGTTACATCCTTCCCATATGCAAGATGTTATCCTGGATGCCAACATCTTGCGTTTCATTACTGCATTCAATTTCTCTTGAATTCTGATACATTTGCTGAATTCTTTTTTTTTGCCCTTTGCTGGAACTGCAGTATTAATGAAGCATTTATTTTGAGTGGAAAATAGCAAGGATAAAAATAAAAGAACAAAATACCATAACGATCATCCAATGAATGGCGTTATACTCCGGCTTGCGAATTCGAAGGTAGAGGTCACAGTGGTCGGGATGATTCGTCTTTCACGAGGTGCGACGTACTGGGGACATCCTCGACCTGACATGGTTGCGATATGGAAGATTGCTGGAGATTGGTAATTGTAGAAAGGTATGGATATCGAGGCTGTTTGGAGTGTGAAGATTGTTGTGATGATAGAGGTTATTTCGAGCGAGGACTCGATCATTCTTATAGACATCCCTCGAGTCCATCGCGTCATGGTATAGTTATACAATGGGCTGGTAAAAGTCCTTTTTTGAGTCTAAATAAACAAACCCTTCATTATGTCCAAATAAACAAAGCCATAGTCTTTGTTGCAGATGCCTTTACAAATACTTTCTTAGTCTCTTTCAGTGGCCTGAAATAGACAGCATTATGTTTCTTGTTAAAAGGGTTAAAAATAAAAAATTCCATCTGACATAGGAAGAAGTCAAACGTGGACAATCTCCTGTTTGCCCCAAAGACCACGCACAATCGTGTCTTTTCGTCGTCACCCAGACTTACTCCGTAGGTAGGTTTGATTTCTGGTCTCTACTCCAAGTATCGAGTTCATGGCTTTTTCGAGTTCATGGCTTTTTTGAGCTCCGAGAGAAACAGACAGGCGAAGACGTTCGATGCTCCGTAATCGTATGCCCTTCTTCGTCTTTAATCCCTCCCAAGCCTATAGTATAGACTTTTCCCGCAATGTTTCTATCGCGTCACAGTCATCAATGGCTGGTTTCAGAGCCTTCTGCTTTCGCTAGGTATCTCACGAGGCAAGGAAGCCGGAGAGAATCCAAAGTTTTCTGCGGAGCAAACTCTTTTCAATGAGCCCTAGATCTCTCGGGTAATCCTTTGAGCGCGTCGCTTTGGCCTCCCAGACTTTTCCGAACCCTGGATCGAACATTTGGATGTCGTGGAGTAACGCTTCGCAATCCGACAGCTGTTCTTTTGCTTGCAGATACATCATCTCGTGAGCCTCTTCTTTCCTCCTTGAGCGTCATCGAGAGTAAGGCTCCTGGAGTTGGAGGATTCCCGGGTATTCTTCCGGTATATAAGCAGTAGCTTCCCATGGAGGTTCCCCGTGACCTTTTCCATTGCTGCTGAAACACGCAACATTTTTATCCCTGTAGATCACTTTCCGTCATTATCGGAGGAGGGGGAGGGATCGCTAAAGCTCGCGTAACTTTGAGCAGGAGTCGAAGTGGGAGTATAATTGCCAGTTCAACGGCCATGTTCCACTTTCTAAATAATATATCAGCGACGCTCATCAACGGAGACACATCACGCACAAGGGAAAGGGGTATCACTCAAATTATATATAGAAGCCGACATGTTGGAAGCCCAAGCTTCTCATGTTATTCCGGTTGTTAGGAAGTTCGTCTGTAAATGGAGCCTGAGGCTGCACAAGGAACAACGCACACAATACGGTTAGTAAATGAATCTCCAACACTGCAACAGAAGCTGAGCGAGTCGACCACCCAGCTTTGGCGGCCCTTATAACCCCATCCGCCACCGCGATGTTTGGAGCGCACCGGAATGAACCATCGGTGGCTGGTATATCCCCCACCTTTCCTACTTAGGCGTAGTTGTAGGGCACAGGTTTCGTCCGTCGAGCGTTGTAGCGGCCTTAGCATATCGGAGGCTAGGACCCGGCTGGCGCAGTTGGGATTCGGAAGAAAGGCAGGCGGTTAGACACGCAGCACTCACAGGAACCCCCAAGCCCAGGGTACGGAATGGGCGCTGACGATAGAACACGCTAAAGTCGTCAAATGCTACCCGCGACACATAGTGCATGTGCAGCTCGCTGACCCCGAAGGCAGCGGTTCGTAAGACAGGGTTCAGCAGTCCTGCTGGGAACTGCACTCGCAGTCCGCCAAGTAGAGAGAGGTTGCGTCAATCACTGGCATACTGGGTGATGTCACCCTCGGCAGAGCTGCTCGATGCCAAAATCTCTATATTAGAATCTTTCGCGAATTCTCATGATGGACGCTCACTCGCTGTATGTCTGTGGCTAAATGTGGTCGCAGATTTTGCCTAAGGATTCCTAGTAGCCGATGGAGAGCTAGCTCTTAAGGATTATGGCGTTGAGAATTCTTCATCATCTCCCCAGGACGATTAGGTATCACGCGACGGGAACTGAGGTAGGGCTAACTACCTAGGGAACGTCGCCCAGCTAGCCAAACGGTCGGTATATACGTGCAGAACCTGGATGACAACACTTACCACGCGAGAGAGGGAGGTCCAGGCACTAGGTGTAAAAGAGGTCAGCATAACGCGGAAGGGCCCATCGCAGAAGTAAGCGAGTTTCGTGCAAACATCTTTTGGGACAGTGAGTCGTAGAATGCCTGCTCTCGCATGGTAATAGAGATGAAGCCAAGAAGGTTTGAATAAGTTGGTACCCGCAGGCCCGTTCTTCCGCGAGCACGAGGCAGTAGCTCTCGAAGTTTTCCAGGCCGCGTAGCACGACGTTGTGCTTGACCTATTCCCACTTCCACATGTCATTTGAAATATGTCCTGGGGACACGGGATCCGGGTCGTATGCGAGTAAGGTAGCGCATAGGCTCCGCATGACGGGGATGCCCGGCGGAGCTGTGACTAGTCCGCAACGCAAAAATGGCGGGGCGTGAGGGTATTTCGGGCGTAATAGCCATCCTGTATGCGTCGCGCTTCCTGGAAAGACGTAAGTGTCTTTCCACGCAAGAACCCGACATTGTTCATAGTGACGATAACGGTGGGTGCTCGCGGGGTCGTAGATCTTCTTCACGTCCGTGTAGTCAATGGGTGCCCCACCGATCTTCCATTTGTCAGTCCCGGGTTCGCCCCTGGCTTCCACGGTTCCGGTCTCGCGCACTTCGCGTCGAACATCTCCGGCCTGCGCGTTCCCATTCCTTATTGCTGTTAGTCAGAGGTGTGACTTCAGTTTATGTTTTTTACCTCGTATTTGCAGCCTACCTTTTAAGGAGTATAGAGATATCTCTTGGTTATCTTTCACTTCACTTTTCTTCTGTTGGAAAAGCTCCCTGGTTTGTATCTCTTGTACGTGGCAAGTAACTCCTTACCGGTGCAACTATGCCAGGACGCTCCTGAATCAGAAACCCACTCCTCGCATCAGATATCTCCCACTTGAGAAATATCTTGACAGATTATATACAGCAAATTTCCCTCCCTCACTGAGGTTGCGGTATTCACCCCAGCCAACCACACGTGGTGTCGGCAAACTGAATATCCCTTCCCAGAACCCTCGCTCTCATAGAATGACTGGGGGAGATCGAAATACGACATGTGTGCGACGGGGTCATCGACCCCGAAGACTTGTGGGACCCTCCTGTCCATCGTCTTGCTGAGACGTGGTGTGAGACAAAGTAAGAAAAGAGTTGGAAGAGTGACGGTTGTAAGTAAAATAGGCAGCCTGGTCATTTCATGGCTGATTTTGAAGCCGGAATGTTGGAGGAGGTTGATAAGAATGGGAAGTTGACCCTAATGCTGAGGATATTTATACAGAGCCGTGGAGATCAGATACAGTGTATGGAAAGTATGTTTGACTGACTGTAAAAGGCAAACATACTTTTTGTGATAAAGAGTGCTATGCTTCAATGTTATGTTATACAGTTCACTTGCGTCAATAGCCTCTACGTACGATTATACATAGTCCCATCAGATCTAGTTAAGAAGTATACCCCACAAACCGCTTCCCTAACACCACGGAGATTGGCCGACCCATTCAGCCCCCAACCTCCAAGCCCCATCCAATCATTGTACGTCTGGGTCAATTATCAGGGGGCTCGAGCTCGGGGATCTGGAACTCCTACGAGCACTTTCCAGCAATTCTCAAGGCATCCTAGGCTATTGGGTCCTTGCCAGAACTAGATGGGGTGAGTGGCACTTGCATGTAGTACTGAGCAAAGTTAACGGCCTGGCAGTTCTTCTTATGGATCCTGATTGACATTGTGGCAAAATCGATTGGGGAGATCCTCTTCACACACCCGGGGGACCGACTCGAAAACATCGCGTATCATATTGAGAACCCTATCCGTCAGCGTGGAAACCGTTGCTACCTGTGCTTGCAAGCAAGTTGAGGTTGAAAGCGCCACTGCCCTGTCCCATTTGAGACTTGGCTCGAACGCGCCTCGTCGTTGGCCGCTGACGTAAATTTGAGCTTCATCCTGCCCCTTCTTCCATTCCTGTAGTGAAGAATTTCAGGTTCTATCTAGTGGAGGGGTAGTATTGGATACCACGCGAGCGCGACGCGTTTCGCGCTCGTTGCGTGCCTGCAATGGAGTGAGCATCGAACTACTGGATCTGTATCGAGTCGTGCAGGAGGGAACGGTTTCTACAATAAGCATCCTCTGTTATTGCTTTGCATCATTCAAGGGGGTACAGATATTCGAAGTTGTAACAGGAGAAGGATAGGCTGGATCGTAAGGAAATACTCTGAGGTTGCCTCTCCGCTCTGCGGGGAGAATTGCAGCAAGCCTGACAAGCCTCTGGAGTGACCTCAGGCCTCTCGTTACGCTTTGGTTAGAGACTACTAAAATTACGCGTTGGCAATCCTATAATTTACTGTTCGAGTCCTAAAGGAAAAAGGAAAAAGAAAAAGGACTACCAACGCAAATAATACCTAACGAAACGCACTCATAATCCCTGATAGCAAGAATGGAGACTTCTAGGACCAATAATAATAATAAAGCCTTAGCCCGTAGGAATTGTGTGAGGCTTTCTAGAAATGTGTTCCTAATATTAACGCGCTTAAACGCCAGTAGAGTATCCACCAACTCTTAGGAAAATATACCGACACTGAGGATCATATCCCTTATTAGGTATATGATCTTCCAATTTGCTATTCTCCACTCCATAAACTACGGTAGAATCCTCTGCACTCCTTTTTCTGACCACTCAGATATCGATTATACTAAGAGATAGGGCCTTAGGATTGATTGAAGATTGCAGCCGGAGAGAGACACGGTATGGATACCTAGGACGTGGGATTTGCTATCCTAATCTCACATTGTAGATTGGAGAAGCGCAGAGTGGTTCTGGGGTTTGAAAGAGACTCGGTCTTTCAGCGATTAGAGATAGTTACTTAGTGAAGTCATGTGCAAAGTTTTGCCCTCGTAACCTTATAGCGTCCGGGCTAGATCGACGGAGTGCACTCTGTGGCCAAGGCCTTTCCATTTCTTTCGCCATTGTCTGGAAGGGTGAGTGTAGGGTGCTTGACCCTGTGAATACGAGTGCTGCTCTGTATCGTTCTTCACTTGAAAAGTTTAAGTCCCTGGCACCAGGGCCCAACATGTGCTCTAGGCCAATGACACCTGTTTATAGGATTTAGCAATTTCGCCAACCAAACATGCAGCCCGAGAAAAAGTCTGTTATAATTGGAAATTAGGTTGGCCCCAGGCAGTTTTCCCGCTAAGTTCGTGTTTAGAGTCGATAGTGGGCCAGAGGCCGTATTTTGTGATTTAGCTTGGTCGATCCTTACCGTAGCATTGCCCTAATAGAAATGCGAATTCTGAGACCTTCGATCACGTTGAACGTATTGAAACATTTGTAAATCGCTCAAATCGCTCAAATTGAGAGTGAATAGATATTAAGTTGAGAATTTTCTAGGCGATCTTCAAGTCCTGACCAATATCACACTTTTAGACGTTGAAAAATGTGTCAGGGCTTTTGTTTGGATACGAGATGGACGGCCGAAATAGGGGGATCTGCTGCTTTCTAGCCTCAATCTTTATCTAGTGTCAACGGTAATAGGCTGGCCGTGTTGATCTGCACCTGATTTCTAAGTTTTTACTCCATACGTATCCACGATGAGGCTGAGAGAGTACAAGCAAATGCCTTAAGAGACACCGGACCCCGTCTACCCTACTCTAGTTCACTAGTCCTTCCTTTATTTTCATTGCTTTACTTTACTTTCGTTCTTTCACTTTCATCGTCTGACTTTCATTCTTCTTATTCATCAGAAAATTCCTCAGGAATCCTCGTTCTCAATCATGCAATCAGCCCCAGGAGCTCGGCCATCACGGCTCACCAAATGGTGGCCCATCGGCTTCTTCATTGGTGCTATTGTCTGCTTCATCATCGGCGGTGCTCTTGTGGGCACATGGACCTCCCACGCGTATGACGACTGCTCCTACAGCAACTCATACGACAGCTCCAGCTCGTACTACAGCTCCTACTATTCCAACTACGACTACTCCTGTGCGACTACCAACATGGGCGAGTTCTATGGCGCTATTGCTATGTTTGTGATCGGCGGCATCCTCAAGCTCGTCGCTTGGATCCTGCTCATCATCTTCTGCGTCAAGCGCAGCCGCAATATCCGCCACACCGTCACATATATGAACTCTCCTCCTGTCCAGGAAACACAGCCCCTACAGACTTACGCCGCGCCTCAACCGTACGCTCCAGTGCCTCAGGCTGCTCATTTCCCTCATTCCCCCGTCTCGCCTAATTCTGGTTACCCTGAGGTTGTGGGCTCATCCGTCTCTGGTACGCCTCCCCCGAATGAGGCCAATGCATCGGCAGGTGCTTCCAAGTACTGTACACAGTGCGGAACCGCTGTCTCTAGCCGATTCTGCGCTCAATGTGGCACCCAGAGCTGAGGTCTCATTGAATCATTTTCATGATATACTTCGACTCTTTTCATAATGCTGCATGTTGGCGCCTGGGAATGGTGGAGCAGCTTATTGGTCAAAATTGCAGGTGGTGGATGAGATGCCGTCTTGGAGATTTTAAGACTATACTGGCTTTACTTTATTTTTTATTTTTGGGATACACCTCTGTTATCCTCCATGTTCTATTCTGCTTCTTTCCCCCTGGTTGTGGGTCTTTATTTTATTACGACAATAACTTTTATTCGTGCCAATACAATATACACCAAATTTCAATGATCAACCCAAGTCAAATGTTGCTGGCAGGGCTATCGTTGTTCGCTTAGCGGGGTGAGGTGCTCCTGTCCATCAATTAACTATAGTAATCGGTCCAACATGGCTGGAATCCACATATCGTGAGTGTACCCATGGGGCGAGAGATGATTTCCGCCTCTACCCCAGTCCCTTGCCGTCTCCCAAGGTTACTTCTCACCACCTTAGCAAGACGACCCCATTCTAGAATAAATGAAAATTGTCTCATATAATTGGAGATAAGCTAGTGGGATCTCGCGAAAGGACATGCAGTGCTTCTGTCCATGTGACTCGCAACGCTGTACGCGGGGCCAGTGCCTGAGTCACTACCACTGAACGCTGATATATGAGACTGATCATTGTGGCATGGCTTTCCCAATATAAGTTTGCTAATCACGAGCTAGAGATGTATATCGCTGAGGAATGGTAGACGCTGGAGAAAGATTCGTATATGATACCAATACAGCAATATCGATCGCGACTGTCACCAGGACAGGATCGATGACGAGTCCTCAAAGCGGAACATTTCGATCGGCACCAACGGCCTGATGTCCCGAACAGTGTTTTGGAGACTTGAAGCATATCCGTCGAGCGCATCCGGCCAGGCAAGGAAATGGCATATAAGATCCTCAGGTCATCGCGTGCATCAATAACGAAAACATCCCGATCGAGATTATGGCGGCAGTGGATACTCTGGGGAACGAGAGTCAGGATCCTAGCTCATTTGAGACCCAAGACCAGGTCATGCAAGCTATCACGCGGCTATGGGAATTCTCATTCCTCAGCGTACGTGAGGAAGAAGGGCTTGTACAGCAGTACGAGATACGTAAGCTTGTGCAAGAGGCTACGCGATACGAACTTGGTGTGAGACGTAAGGAAGATGCGGCATACTTCTCAAATGCGGCGCTACAAATTGTGACAGGGCTCTTTCCAAAGTCGGAGCCAGAGACGTGGCGGGAATGCGAAAAGTACGTTACTCATGCCGTGGAAGTGGGTAAGTGGGCAGAGGTTTGCGATAGGGGTGAAGAGGTATCACACCTTTTGGAGCGAGTTGCGCTCTATTTCCACCACCGTGGTAGGTGGATGGATAAGCAGCCAGTCGATGAGAGGGTGTACGAACTGCGGCAGCAGGTGCTCGGCGAGGAACCTCCCGATACGATCAGGAGCTTAGCAGGCCTCGCGGGCACCTACCAGGCACAGGGCCGGTATAGCGAGGCTGAGCCGATAGTAGTGAAGGCCTTGGAGCTACGGCGGCAGGTGCTCGGCGAGAGACATCTCGATACGACGTGGAGTTCAGCACAACTCTCGGCCACCTACTCCTTACAGGGCCGGCATAGGGAGGCTACGAAGGTATGAGGGTTCATGTTGGTCTTGATGCCTGGGTGCCTTAGGCAGAGTACCCAGTTGATTGGGAGCTCGCTGCTCTTCCCAATATAACCCTCTCCCTTCTGATCCTTAGTGCCTGCGTACCGTAGACCCTGAGAGTTCAAAGCCCGCTTTTGGGG